ATTGATTGGTTTATATAAAAAAATTTTGTTAAATTACTTACAGTATTAAAAGATTCTGGTTTTCCGAATTAAAATTGTAGAATAAATCTTGGTATAATTGAATTCACTTAAATTATATTTATTTAAATGAAACTGTTTTAAAAAGTAAATGCCAAAGTAAATTTAATTTCCAACTATGAAACCACATAAAATATTATTTATGTAAGTATTCTTATTGGAAATTACTGAGAAATCAATGAAATTTGTAATATGATTTAAATTTTAGTTTAGATTCAGAAATCATAATTTAGTATAATATATAAATGGATCTGTTATAAATCGTCTCCTCTAACTGAAAGAGTATATAAAGTTTATTATATTTCTTGCAAAATAAGACAATAGAGTACAAGAAAGGGAAAAATTTAAGTGTCATGAAAAACTAAATATTAAAAAAAACTTAAATGATATAATTGAACCCAAAATTTTCCCGCACTTTCAAGAATCCTAAAAATATATTCCACAAATCAAAATTTGTCTCTTATGCAAGTTAATGCTGTTAAACTTTATCAAAACTAATAAAAACTATTATTATCATTCAAAATTAATTGCAAGTTTAAGTTTTCATCAAACAAAAATTATTTATTTACTGATTCGATTAGTTCTAAATTTAATGAGACATTTGTAATCTAATCTCAGAATTTATCTAAAATTCTGTTAATATTGTTCGTAAACCAGTTTGTGTCTTATAATAAGTTATTGTTCAGTTAAATGTTAAATATAATCGTACGTTTATTATTTCAAATATTCAAGAAAACTATTCTGATGTGTGAAATATTGCAAAAACTACACACACATACATATACTTAATTTGTATTCTGTTGATTATTTTCTTATAAATGCAAATCGGCTTTCCAACATAGCAAAGTGCATTTCAATCAGAAACTTAAAATTCTTTATTCTTTCTAACGCTCTTGGTAAACGTAAGCACTATAGAGTTAATAGACAAAACTTTCATTCTTCTATTAAAAAAAATAGTTTTCTAAAGTACAAATCCTTGCTTATTCTCTTAAGTCTAAATCGTGTTTGTACTACTTAGAAAAATGTCATCTTTATCAATGTAATTAAAATTTACTTTACATTATTCTATCGAACGGACAACACTTAATTTTGATATCAACTTGAAATTCTTATTTATAAATTTATATTGTGTGTACGAGAAAAAATCCTCACTATTAAATTATTTATGAAACGCAATTTTTTACTTATATATTTATAAATATATACTAATAATTTATCATCAAGTAAGTAAGTACAAATAAAATATTTTTTCCAAAGAATTATCGATTTTATCATGTATAATTTAATATTAAAAATGCTTACAAGATATTGTTGACCGCAGTAGTAGTAATAAAAAACTTAATAATGCAAATGATAAATATTGGATATAAAGGTATATAATTGGTGGCAAACATTGTGTGTATGTATTATTGTACATATATACTTTCGTTCATTTATATAGTATATATGAAGGTATATATAAAAAATTTATAATTTTACTAAATATGAAGAAAACGCAAAATCAAATAAAGAAATTATGTGTGCCAATCTCTTTTCACGTATAAAATTTAAAAAAAATATATTTAATGTGTACAAAAGTTAATTATTTTTTTAGAAAATGGTGCATATACAGAAACTACACGTACATATATGAAAATAAATTAAATAAATATTTTTTAAATAAAATAAAAGAAACAAAATTTTGTTTAAACGTGCTATTTACATAAACAAAACTCATTTATTTTTAATATAGGAGAATAATGGAAGCATTCAACGAAGAAAATTGTACTCATAATGAAAAAAAGGATTCTAAAACTGTAATTGAATCTCTATAAAATCATTCTGTTAGCACGTGTTCATTCTGTATTAAGAAACTGTTTGGGAACAGAACACTGTCTGGTTTTGATAATTTATTTCCAAACGCTTTTTATCTACTCTAACAAGTTTTTTATATTCAAACTGGCACAAAAGTTCACGAAAAGAGTTAAAATGCTTAATATTATTATAAATGCTTTAAGACTTTGTTTGGATTAACATTATAAGAACTATATGAACAGAATGCGGAACCGAACTTCCGTCGAGGTTCCTCTAATATAAAGAAATTGAACTATTGAACATTTTACCTTTGAAATTGGGTTATAATTTTCCCTTACCGCACACAATTGGGTGTTGCTTTCCTTCACAAATTTTGAAAAATGCTTCAAAAAATAGTGACCCAGTTTATCTATTCATTTTAAACAAAATTTAAAATTCTTATATTATATGCGCTTGAAGTCAAAATAATCAGCGTTATCTGTTCTCTACAAATTTAATTTTCATTTAACATTAGTAATTCTGATTATTTTATCTAACCCAAAATTTATTTTAATATATACATATTCAAATAATATCCTTTTTAACTACCGCATGTCATTATGCAAACTATATATAACATACTATATAGGTACATAAACCAGTAACGATTGGATGTTTATACTTTCAAATGCGAAATTGACGAGAAAAAGGAAATGTAAAATAAAGTTGGGTCAAACCAATGGTTTGTATTGTAGCAATTTTCCCTTCAACAAGTGAAAATTCTGCTTTTAAATACAGTCTATGTATACCTATCACACTATTAAAATTATTTTCATTCATTAGGATTGCATATATTTAGGATGACGCATATATGCAGTCTGTGAAATAAAGCAAAAATTAATATAAAAAGGGGTTAACATAATGTTCGATTTTAAGGGTTATTGTGTGAGTTAAGAAAAATAATTATATTTTTTAATATCATGGAATTTACCGTTAGCTTTTTGCGGTTTCGGAAATATAAGGTGTTAAAAATTCAAATTTTACGATTTTTAAGAGGCGATAACTTGTGAGGGGGTGGAGATGGAAAAAAATCTTCTAACGAAATAAACTATTTGTTAATGTCTAAAAGCCCCTAAAATTTCAAGCTTCTACATGCTGGGGTCTAAAAGAAAAACGAAATCAAAAATTTAGAAAAAAAGGACTTTAGATAACGGTAAATTTGAACGGCCATTTTGTTTTTCTAAAGTTTAACTATAGTATACCGCGCTAGGGAAAGCAAGCCGCTGCCTTTACGCGTTTGCAAAATTTCAAAAATGCTTATGGTTTAATTGCAACAAATAGTTAAAAAAGACCATTTTTAGGGTTTTGGGGGGGGGTATAACTTCTAGAGGGGGGGAGATAGGTAAAAATTTTGTTCTACGGAAATAAGTTTCTAGTAAAGATCTATGTACATTTCAGCTTTCTATCTTCAAGGATGTAGAAGTTTTGTAAACAGACAGACGGACGAACGGACGGACGGACAGAGTGAAACTAATAAGCACTTTTTTTCAAAAATTTTTTGGAAAAGTCCTAAAAACGTACTTAAGCAAATTGTAAAAAATATTTTCATATTTGAATTAGAAATTATTTGCATGTTCATAAATTTTTGTGGACATTAATGTAATTTTGGGGTGGTGACACGAAACTTATATTAGAAAGGATTATGATAATAATTACCGGTATAAAAATTGATTTAAATAGGGTGAATCGTCGGAAATCAAAATTTTATGTAATTAACTTTGATTTTTTTATACATACTATGATTTTTACTTTGTACATTTAAAAGAATAATGGAAAAACAAAAATTTTAATTAAATTAGTACAGACAATTACGGAAATTGAAAAGTAAACCTTCTGTATTATCGTTATGGATTTTTAACTTCCGGCTTTGTGTTCTTTTAAAATACATATTACAGCACAATAACGGTATTATTCTTTAAAAAGCAAATTATTTCCCGAATTTCAATTAGAATAATTATCAATATTAATATCGGTGAAAAATACAAAAATGTTGTTTTAAATAATTTTACAATTGGCATGATTTTATAACACTATATCCATATTATTTTCAATTCCATACAATTATGGTAAGTAATTTTTAAGTGCGAAAATTTTTTTGGAGAACATGTATCTCATTTTTTCCAAAAATATACAAAATTCAATCTCCACTCACGATCTGCGTATGATGTTTTCTTAAGTGACAAGTGAATGTTTTAAAATGCTGACTAAGCGAAAAGAAGGATCTTCTTGGAAAATTGCATATTCAAATAAAAAATTGTGAATTCTGATTTTACTAGCACTTTTTTGAAACCACTTTTTACTCATTTATTACAGTGAAAGCGTAAGCATTTCTGAAATTTTTCAAACGCAGAAATATAGTAACCGCCTTCTTCTACTAGGGCATACTACATTTGAATTTTAAAAAAACACAATGGCCGTTCAAATTTACCGTTATCTAAAATCCGTTTTTCCCAAAATTTTTGATGTCGCTTTTCTTCTAAACTCTAAGTTGTAGTAACCTGAAATCAGCTTTTAGACACTAATAAATATTTTATTTCGTTCGAAAAAAAATTTTTCCATCATCCAAATTTGTAAAATCTCAATTTTTGACGCCTTATATTTTCGAAATCGCAAGCTTTTTTCTAAATTTCTATAAACGCAAAAAGCTAACGGTACATTCCATGACATTAAAAAAATATAATTATTTTAGTTAATTAATTAGACACAATTAACGATTGAAATCGAGCATTATGTCAACCCCTCTTTAATTTAATTTTTGCTTTGTATCAAAGACTGCATAAATCGTTCATCCTAACTGTATGCAATCCTAGAAATAGTTCGTTTATGAATGAAAATAACTTTAATAGTGTGGTAGGTATGCGTAGACTGTATTTAAAAGAAATATTTTCACTTGTTTAAGGGAAAAGGGGTACAATACAAACCAGTGGTTTGACCCAACTTTATTTTTTAAATCACTTAAAACTTATGTTATATCCGTGCACAAAAAGATTTTCTACGAAAATTTATATAAATTCTTCTTAAATGAAACTTTCATTCAATACAATTTAATATTTTAGATATAAATATATTTTATTATAAAAATTATATTTTATTCAAATTTCAAGACTTACCAGCAAAACAAGCTTGAACAATAAATAGAGCCGCAATGAATATGAGCATTTTCTTTTTCCACTTAAATATTAAATCACAAAATTTTGGGTGTCTTCTTGTTTATTTTATTTTGTTTTTTGTTTTGGTTTTCTTTGTTCCACTGAATTTTTCTTTTATAATGTCAAATTTATCAAAATCCTATTACATATACTTACACATACAATCTGGTATATTACAAGATAATTGTCACGATATTTTTTAAATATATTTATATATAAGTATGATCTAATCTGCGTTTAATATGACATACATATTATATTTTTATTTGATATTATTTACATAAAATTTGTTTCGGATATGTGTGCTTGTGAATACGATGTTTTGTAATTTTCTAAATTATATGTATGTATAATTTAATTTTTTTCTTATTTTATTTTTATATTTTTGTATTAGAATTTAAATTTTTTATTACTAAATTTTCGATTATCCTATTAATACGATATAGCTGATGATATTTGACATATTTATGAATTTTATTCGTATATGTATATGCAAATATTTATGTTATAATATGTTTGTATAGAATGAAAATGATAATATTGATATATATCGAATATTAGTGAATTTTAAAGATGCTTTCAGAATGAAAAGGAAATGTAACAAAAAAAATTTTATTTATCAGTCTTATAGAATGTTTTTTTGTTATTTTTTATTTTAAATTCTTTTTTTATACTATAATATTTGGTCTTTTACAATGGTTGTTGTCATACATGAATTCCTCTAGGTCCTTATTACATTTGATTTTCTTAAGATTCTACATATAAATTCTTAATGTTGCTAATTTATTATGATTTTTGCCATTTAATTCCTACTTTAATAAATTCCAATTTTAAATATCTTGGTCATATTTTATGATTTTTAAAATTTCATTTTGACCCCATTAAAACTCTTCTAAATTTTTTATTATTTATTTGAATTGTTTATTGGAGAACACTTATATTATATAGAGAAAAAAGAAAATTTATTTGTTTTTTTCATTTCATTTTTATAGCAAATTATTATTAATAATTACATAATCGATTAATTAATTCTGAATTTGTTTTATTTTATTAATAGCACATTTATTTTCGATTCATTATTTAAACTGTAAAATTAATTCATTTTAAATTCTTGAAATTTATTATGCATATTCTTTAATAACTTAAAAAAAACGAATAGATTTGTTTATTTTAATATAAATATCCTTTTATACAATTAAAATCCCCTTCAGATAAAGTAAATAATTAAATGAAGCGTTTCATTATTATAAGTGATTTTGTTCCATTTTTTTTTTTAATTTTTTTGCTACAGTCTTAAAGAAAACACCTTTGTTTTCATACCATAATATTCATATAGCAACAAGCTAAATATATTTTGCAAATATAATGTATGAGATATGTATATTTTTGTACATATTTATATGCATATTTATTATACACAATTTATTATATCCTTATAGAATTATCCTTGAATTTGGTATTCTGTTAAATCATGTTATCTTAATAAATTTCATGCTATTGTTGTCTATTAAAATTGTTTTTCTTTTTGCTATTTATAGTTGTAATATTGTAGCTTATTTAATTCCTTGTCTTTTGTATAATTTATAAAGATCTGAAATGAAAGAAAAAGAAAAACATAATGAATATTTTTTGTTATTTAATATCATTATTATAAATAAATAAGCGTATAATTATTTTAATCTATCAATATTTTCAATGAAACTTATAGTTCATTCAAGTAAATTTTATAATAAACACAAGAAGTAGCATAATTTGTTTGCAATGCAATGAAGAGTAAATTTTGCTATAAATTAGTATTAGAAAATATTGGTATGATATGGCAGGTCAAGCTATACAATTTTATTTTCTTGTATTTTTCTTTGGAACAGTATAACTGAATTCATATTTTCAATGTGTACATATACTGAAAATAAGAAAGGATTCGCGAAACGCGTCATGTTTTAGATAAAAGTAAAATAAAATTTTTAAAATCAATAAATAATTAAATTTTATATTAAATAAGATAAAAAAAAAAATATTTAACCAATAAATAGTGAAATATAGATGTTTAGATGATTATTTGCATTACTCAGCTCATATTATTTTATTGCATAAATTTGGGATGAGAAAAAAAAAAGTAAACACAGTTTAATATTATATTTGTACCAATATTTTTTGTGATAAGAAGACATTTACTGTTGAAATACTTGTTGTTTTTGGGAAAAAATCAAATTTTGGTAAATTTTTCCAGACGAAAAACTTTTTTTTTAACGAAGTAAACTATTAATATCAACAATATATTAAAATTCCACGTGTCTTATTTTATAGGGAAATAAATTTCCATCGCACTAAAGATTTGTACAGTAGCACATTTTCCTGGAACAAGTGAAATATGGAAAAAAAAATCTATCTTTTGTTTGAATTATTGCATACTTTCGGGCGAAAATGAAATTTAAGCATTAATTGAATGTTCGACCATTCTACAATTACCAACAGTTCAGTCAAGCTAAATAATTCAAATTTTTAATGGATATAATTTTTAATAGAACTAATAATTTCAGGAAAAGCAAAGTTCCGGAAATTTGAATTTTGCTAATTTTGTAAGAGGTATAAAAAACACAAACCATTTCGATTTTAGCCATTTCGATAAATTACCATCCAGAAGCAAAAGTTTGAAAAAACTGTTTAAATAAATGGTAATTTAAACGGCCATTTTGTTATTTTATCGAATTATACTATTTTAAACTGGAAAGATTAAATTTCTATTTTTCTATATTAACAATTAAGGCTTTATAGTTTTATAAATTGTTAAAAAATAAAAGTTTTAGGACTATGAAGGACTATAATTTTTGGAGAGAGGATTTCGAAAAAAAATTCTTTACAAAAAAATTATTTCTTATAAAATTTCATTTACTCATAAAATTATAGATAAAAAATCTTGTAAGGCAGAATAAAGGTAATAAGCACGTTTTTTCGATTTTATGCTAAATATAATTAACATATATAGTGTCAAAGGCACATGGTCAAATTTATATTAAATTGTACGATGATTTAAAGGTTTACACAAGACCAAATTGCTTTTCAATGTTAATTAAAATTTCCATAAAAATGTTTTTGATTTATTATGTTCAAAAATATTTTAATCAGAAAAAAAAGCTTCACAATAAATATTGTTATCAGCATGCTACAAACAGTAGGTGGTCGCTCTTTACAATAATGTCAAAAATAAGAATAGGGGGAAGTAAATATTAATGTAAACAAATTAGTAATAAATATTAATTAAAAATTTTTTTTTCTTATTTTTGCAAAATATCTAAAAATAAGGAAGAAAATACAATTTTTTTTTTAATGAAACTTGTTAAACTAGAATAGAATGTAAGGATGCCTTTATGTGTAGAATGATTTTCATGTCAAGTACGACAATTTTAAATATTTCCGTGTTTAGTAAATTTTTTACATTAACAAGACACTAACTGGTCGCCAAAAATTAATCTATTTATATATGAATTTAAAATATTGATCTAATTGCCATTTTGGTTATTTCCTTAAGACGCTAAAAATTTAAAATATGCTATTAGATACCAGGAATAATTTCTCTTGTGGAATTTAATTTCGCTTAACTAAATACGAAGAATTCAAAAGATTATTAACAAACAATTTATTTCATTCGTTTTAATTTGCAAAAGAAAAAAATGGCGAAGCCAATCATCCCTAGGGAATACTATGAAAATCTCGAACAAAATAAAAATTTGAACCAAAAATCTTATAATAACGACACACGAGACTTTATCACCTTGAATTTTATTTCCATCTCCTCAAATTACATAAACAACAATGATAACTGTTCATGTCGATGTATAGACACCATTATGTAAATGGAGTGTATCCATATGCATTTACACATTTACTTGTATACTACGTCATAGATATTTATGTTATTATTATTTATTAGATCGACACGCTGTTGAAAACTCATAAATCATATATAAGACCATAAAAATAAAATTTTTTATTCTACGAAAATATTTTCGAGCTTCTTGACTTTTTTTCTTTTTGTATAATATATACTCGTACATATATTTCATTGGCCTTATTTAATAGAGAACATAATGGTAAAGATGCCAGAATGTCGTGAATTGATGTTAAAAATGTTAAACTGGTATTTATTGTTATATGAAAAGGTATATAAGTATAATGTAAGTATGATAAATGAATCTTTAAGTTGGAGACTGTAAAGGATGTTTTAATACGTGGTTTATTTTACTCATTCAAAAAATTTATTAGAGCTATTTATATTTTGCATTCATTGTTGTAAAGGAGAGTTATTTATGTTAAGCATGGTTACGATTTCGTTGAATACAAATAAATGGAAAATTGATCACACTTACAAGAAATGGAAGAATCATGCATAGATTATTATTGTCCAGCGTTTTTATCAAAGATTTATAATCCCAAAATAAAGGGTTCAAGCATATGTACATGTGTACATACAAGAATGCATAAAAGACATAAAAGACATAAAAGACATGCGCATGCACATTAATTTTTGTGGGCATATCTACTTGTTGCAAATTGATAGTTTTAATGATTATTTAATATTTTTATATATACAGGGTTGTCCGGAATTGGTAACTTCTAGTAGTTTTTAGGAAAAAACTTGTTCTTGTTTGTTTCCATTTGTCCATAAAATGATCTATATTATTTTTATGCGGTTTAAAAAGTGTAAAATCACAATTATTTAAGTGACGAATTACACTTTTCTTGGTTGTCAATTAGTTTTATTAGCTATCCTGCGAAATCTCTATAATATCATCCCTTTGTGCCACATTACTGATTAATTATTATTTATTTGGGCCACATTACTGAAACACAAAAAACTCTCCTATAACTTGCATTAACATTTTATTTTGTATCTGAAATAAATTAAGTTGGATCAAACCAATGGTTTGTAAAATAGCGTTTTTCCCTTGAGCAATATCGAAATATTTCATATTATTGCATATTTGTAGGATGAAACAACAAAAAAAATTGAAAAAAGTGTTATCATAATGGTCGAAATCAAAAGTTAATTGCGTGAGTTAAGAAAAATAATTATATTTTTTATGACATGGCATTTACTGTTAGCTTTCTGCATTTATAGAAATTTAAAAAAATATGCAGTTTCGGAAATATAAGTCGTCGAAAATTCTAATGTTAAGGATTTTGAGGCGTAATAACTTGGGAAGGAATGCAGGTGGAAAAATATTCTTAAAGCGAAATTAATTATATATAAATAGCTTAAGGCTGTTAAAATTTCATATTCCTACGACTTATGTCCTAGAAGAAAAACAATA